GTGTAAAAATGTCTTTGATATTAAGTTACCTGATGTTCTTTTCCGCGTACCTTGGGATTTTTTATCTAATTCAGGGTCAAAAACTGAGTTGTAATCACCTATTATACAAATTTCATCATGGGAAATTCCTGATAGAGCCAGTTGTTTAAAAAATTTCTTTTGTTTCTGATTCGGTGTATATATATTTACTATTAGAAATATCTTGTCCTGTCTTTTAATTGATACTGCTATTGCCCTTCCATCTTCAGATCTATATTCTAATTTTGGCTGTAAATATTCTTTCACGTAAATAGCTACTCCTTTTTTCCTTTTTTGGGGATCTGAATCTGAAAACAATATACCTAATTTTTTCTCCTGTAAATATTTTTCTTCTCCTTTCTTTATATGTGTTTCCTGTATGCACGTTATGTCTAAATTGAGTTTAACCAATTGATGTTTAATTCTGCTTCTCTTCTGTGGACCATTAAGTCCATTCACATTAACTGATAGTACTTTAATTTTCTTCCAGCTCCCCATCTTCCTTGTTCTTAGCATATTTTCCTCCTTCCCTTTTCTGGAATCTTGTCACTACGCTTGATACTGCAGTTCCTGTTTTTTTCCTTCCTCTCTTCTTCCTTCTCTCTTGTGTTCCTAGTACTTCTACTGTCTGTGTTTTTTCTTTTTCATCTGATGACACCTCGTCTGAACTTTCAACTTCTTCCTCTTCTCCTTCTCCTTGATCCCCTAGTTCCTCTCCATAGGTCTCCAGGAAGTTTTCCATCTTAAATATCGAGTTGATATTGAATCTTTTGTTTTGATACATGAACAGCAATCCTTCTGGCAGGAGCCATCTATAGGTTATATTATTTTCTCTCAATAACCTCGTAAGTTTAGAGTATAGGAACCTTGTTTCCCTCCAAGGCGTATCTTTCACAAATTTTATTTCTTCTTCTCCTACCTTCACTGATTTCTGGTTTGCATTCCTTAGAGTTTTGTCTCTTGTTTCTTTTCTGTTAAATTTAATGTGGACTTCTCTTGGGGTTTTATTTCTTTTTGCATAAGAGGTATTCTTTCTATATACCACATCAATATCTTTATTTACTTCTTCTTTTGCTCCAATTTCTAATTTTTCTGACAATAAAGTTACTATTTCCTCCTTAAGGTCTTGCCTCTTCCCTTCTGGCATGTTTTGACACCGTACCACCATGGAGGCTTTCTCAATTTCCAGGGAAGTTAGCGTTTGTTCTAATCTTTCAACACTGGCTTTATGCTCAAAAAATTCGTCTCGTAATTCTTTGCTTCCTCTTTCCAGTTTCTTTATGCTTTTTGTATTTTTGTCAATTTCTTGTTTATAATTATCTAGTTTATTCTTCACCTCTTCTGTTTCTTTAAAGATTGTGTCCATTTTCCCTTGTATTGTTTCCAATTGGGCCTTCATCACCATAGGGAGGGTTTGCTCTAATGTTTCTTTGACTGCTTCTCTCACTGAAGTTTGAATTGTCTCTGCCACTATACTTTGAACCCAGTCTTTTAAATCTGCCTTGAGGTCATCTATTGTTGTTGTTGATTTGGGGTTGATTGTTTGTTGTATAGTTGCTTGAACTTTAGGAGAGGGGGCTAGCCCTTTTCTAGGAGGTATTCCTGAAGCCATTTCACTTTTATCTATTATGTAGTATTTATACTTTGCAATTTTAGTTTGTAGTTTTAAACGTTTTTTTAAATGCAGTTTTTGAAATCTATTCATCAATTATCTTATTAAATTTAAATTAAGTTCTTGGGTAATATATTGTGTACTATATCCGTTATAATTAATTAATATATTACTTCAAAGGTGTTTCTCTTTTCTAACAGAGTAAATTTCTCTAGTCTCTCTTACAGATTGACCTGTCCCTTTTCCCCTATGAACCTTTTTCTCTCTATATCAGCAGCCAAACAAAATATCAGTGCTCAAAACAGCGACTTAACAAATGTCAGCAGCCCAGCAAAATATCAGTGCTCAAAACAGCAACCAAATAAAGTCTCAGAACGATATCTATAACTGTTCAACTTATTTTCCAAATTAGATTATGTCTCTTATCACCGGTGTCCTTCTTCTCTTTCTACTGCTCCTCCTATATCTTGTCAGCTCTCCAGTCTCTCTCTCTCTTTTTCTCTTTTTCTCGCACAGTCACTCCGTTCCGCTCCACCGTTCCGTTGCGTTCATCAATTACATGTATACAAATCAATCAAGATAAGAAGAGTTAGTTCTACCTTTCAGTACCAAATTAAATTCCCCCTTACCTTATTGGTATCTCTCTCTCCCTTCTCTTCTCTTTAATTTCCCCGTTTCATCTCACCAGTTCCCCTTTAAACCTGTTATATACCGCAGCAATCTCCTCCTAATCTGTTAGTCCCGAGGTAACAAGAACACAGTTTAGTTTTTCTCCCCTCCCGTCCTTCTTATTTTAATCTCCCGCTTATAGTTCTTAATTTCTACTTAGCTTTTTGTTCCGTTGCGCATTTCCAGTCGCCCTGTGTTCTTTGTAACACCTTCCCTTCTTCTGAAAGCCTCGTCACTCTCCTGCTCGTTTCCGCCGCTCTCCACTCTCCCTCTCTCACTCCTACTTCCATCTCTGATTTCGACTACCCACCGCGACGTCTCCCACTCGTGCCACGCCCGAATTTCTCCCGAGTAGCGATCGATTTACTCCCGGTAAGCCTTGGCTGCAGCCTTCCTTCCTCCGTTCTTTTTGCCTCTTTCTCCTACTTTCCTTTCTCAAAAGCCTTCTTACGTGTCACTGCTAGTAGCCGATTTCTTCCCAGCGTTTTTACCGCATTACACCTAAAAGAAGAGACATCTATTTTTATTTGCACTCACTTTCCACTTTTCCCCCCCTTTAAATGATCTTACGTATATTAAAGAATAACACTTATCTACGGTTTGTTGAATTAAGTTGTTTTCAAGTTCTTTGCTAGCCGTTGTTCTGGTCAGCGTTGGCCGCGACACCCGTCTTTCCCCGGCGTTTCCTTTGGGTTACACTTTGGATTTCTCTGCTTCAGTGCCTCTTCAATAACTCTGTAGCTGTTTGCTTCACAGCTACAGTTGAAGTAGCCCCTTGCTCTCCTCTTTTCCAGAAGCAGGGGATCTCCTGCCCCCCCAGTTCAAGAGAGAAGACCCTGTTACAGTAGACTGTGTCGGAGCAACTCCACACATGTCTACCCTCGACGAGCTCCAGCACTGTTTCAAACATGTACCTGCACACGCCCCTTACTAGTGTGATTCAGATATTCTCTCAGCCATGAACTGACTCAGCCCTAGAACCCAACTGCAATAATAAGGGCAATAATGTTGGCTTCCTTGTAGGGTAAACGTAAGTACTAATGCATAAGTAGACATCATGGGAGAAGTGTTGTTCCCTCCAGTTCTTCTTCCCACCACATCTCTGTGGATAACATCTGATTTTTTTAAAAAAACTTGGTATTCTCATGCAGGCAACATGACATCAGCATGTGCAGCATTTCCTTGTCCATTACAAGTGGCAGCCAATGAACTGGAACAATCAGGGAAACACCGACTGATGTCATGCCTCATGTTAACCCGTCAACCTCCACTTGGTTTCGCTGTTTGAAATCAGCTCCCCCATTCTGCTACTTGTCTTTTAAAAGAGAAATATTAATATCAGAGCAGGGCAATCAGTTCTTGCGTCCCTTTGCATCTGTTTCACGTTTGATCTTTTCCCTCCAGGATATCTTAGCCCTCTGCACAAACTAAAGCCGTTCCCTTAAGACCGTTGTTGATTTGTACTCTAGGCATTCACTCTTCCTACCTACTTTCCTAAATCTTACTAGCTGCTGGCCAAGATAGGATACAACAATAGCTGCAACCTCTGCAGATCGTAATCCTATTTCATTTGTCTTCCTCGTTTTCCAGTGACCCATACAGAATAGCAGCATTATGTTTAGAACATTTTCTTGTAATCCACGGTGCTTACTATGTCAGTGAATGATGTTTTCATTAAGGAACCACCACAAAACTTTGTTTGTTTCAGCTTGATTCCTTGGCACTTTCTGTGTTCAGAGTACCAGGAGCTAAAATGATAGTATGGACAACAGTATTGGACAGTTCCTAGGAAGCTCTGAGGAGAAGAGAATCCACTAGTGGATCAGTTCACACCTGAATATTTATCACTCATTGACTTGCCTGTGGAAATATATTTGTTTGCTTCATTTATACTCTTCCTTTCTTCCCAGTAGGGACCCAAAGCAGCTTATATTTTATCCTCACAACAATTTTGTGAGGTAGGTTAAGCTGATGGTTTGTGACTGGCCCACGGTCACCACCAAGGTTCCATAGCAGAGTGGGGATGTGAATCTGGGTCTCCCAGATCTTGGGGGCCGTGGTGGCTCAGAGGTTAAGACGCCGAGCTGCATACCAGAAGGTCTGTAGCTCGGCAGTTCGAGACCCGAGTGCCGCATGACAGAGTGAGCTCCCGTCTCTGGCCCCAGCTCCTTTCAACCTAGTAGTTTGAAAGCAAGAAATTGCAAGTAGTTAAATAGGTACCACTTCAGTGAGAAGGTGACAGCATTCCGTGCGCCTTGACGTTTAGTCATGCTGGTCACATGACCATGGAGAAGTCTTCGGACAGCTCTGACTCTTCAGCTCTGAAACGGAGATGAGCACCGCCCCCTAGAGTCGGATTCGACTGGCTTTCAAGCAAGGGAAACCTTTACCTTTTACTCTCAGATCCTAATCTGATGCTGTAACCATTGCAGCACACTGGCCATCATGGATTAGTCACCATTGATAGACAGTTCATATCCCTTGATGCCAAGTCAAACAGAGTACTTTTCACTGGAGACCACTCAAACATTCAGCTGAAAGTCATCTAGATTTGAGTAATCAACTGGTACGGCGGACCTGTAGGTGTGAACCAGCCTAATGCGCTTATGAGTAATTAAAAAAACTAGTACTGAAATGACCTTTTTCAATGAGCATTAGTGAATGGATAATCCCAAATTCTTGTTTCCTTTATCTCTTTCAGCTGTTCAACACAACTATTGAAACGTCTGAAAAAAACAGTGTTCTGCAGCGGCGCCTAGCTACGTTGCTTAGTCAGACCCTCTATGCAACTTATACCAATGTTTCCCGAGGCCTTTTCGAACAGCACAAACTGATCTACAGCTTCATGCTGTGTATTGAGGTCATGCGGCAGAAAGGAGAACTTACAGATGTTGAATGGAATTTCTTCCTCCGTGGGTCTGCTGGTTTAGATAAGGTATTTTTTGTAACAGTGTTTATTATTAGTGAGGCTTCAAAACATTGTGTCCTTCCAGTGATTGTATAAAAAGGGTCATTGTGCCAACCCAACCCCTTTTGTATAACTATATTAGATTTTTGCGTTCTCTTGTTAGAACCTGATACTGTGGTGGAAAGCCTGTCAAATGCAAGGGTTGTTGCATCGGCATGAATGGCATCAGTGTTAGTGTAGGAGCTCAGAATGGTGCAACTGAGTCACTGAGTGTCTTACACGAGTAGAGGTGAACATGGGGGGATGGGTAGGACAGGGCCGTGGTGGCCCGAAGAACAGCTCTTTCTAGAAGAAGAAGAAGAAGAGATTGGATTTATACCCCGCCCTTCACTTGGAGTCTCGGAGCGGCTTACAAACTCCTTTCCCTTCCCCTCCCCACAACAGACACCCTGTGAGGTGGGTGGGGCTGAGAGAACTCTGACACAAACTGCTCTTTCAGGTACAGCTGTGCCAGAACTTGTGACTGACCCAAGGTCACATGACTGACCCAAGGTCTGGGGTACCAAGAGCAGAACATCTCCTGTGTTAATGAAGTGCTGAATAGGGTTAACAAAATGGTGTTGAACACAAGTACCAAATATCAAGAAACCTGTAGACCAAGATCCATAACCTAACCAATCACAAACTGTAGGTAGTAGAGATACAAGTGTCAGCCTTAAAAGAACCAGCATAGAGCTGGAAAAGTTTAAGGATGAAAATATATATACAGATGTGTGCTAGATGCCCACAGAATAATGCAATGACAAAAGAGACTAGATTAAAGCCATATCATCATTTAGTGTCTGATAATGAAAAACAACCACTTATTCCTTCATAGAAAAAATACAAAGATCAAAAAAATTACACACGGCAGTGTGCTCCAAACTCTCTCAGTCAATATCCTTCTGACAGTCTTGTATTCTCAAAAGCAGTGTGCTCCAAATTCAATCTCTTTCAACACTTATTCTGTATATTTAAGTGTTTCAGACCTCTGGTCTTTCCTCAGGAACAAATCCTATATAGGAATCTCACCTTCAATGTTACCTTCAAGTTGACACATTCATTGATTCTAAAAATACATTAACAATAGTCACTATAACATTCATTGTTGGACCCACACCTATTTAGAATTTTCCCTGTAATATACTTATTACTTTTTCATTAATCTACTTGGGCAAGGTGCCTAAATTCCATATGATGACCTTGTCTCAGGTTCTCTCTCTAGGAGTCATGACTTTGGTTCACTGTGGTAAAGGATGCATATTTTCATATTGCCATTTCTCAAGATGATAGGAAATATCTACACCTTTCTTATGGTACTATTTGTCTGCAGTACATGGTGTTGCCCACAGCACCCAAGGTATTTACAAAGTTCATATCAGTAGTGGTTGCCCACTTCCTCCTTTAGGGTTGCATGGTGTACCTTTACTTGGATAATTGGTTGTTCACACCTCCATCTAGAGCATTGCTTCAGGACCAGATAGCTTTAGCTCTGGAAACCTTGCAAAGCTTGGGGTTGATAATAAATCTAGAAAAATCCAAATTGACTCCTTCTCAATCTACATTGTTTATACAAACATACCTGGATGCGAAACTAGACTTGGCCTTTCTCCCAAAGGACAGAACCGTGACATTTTTGTCTTGGGTACACAGATTCCTAAAGAATAGGTTTCAATCCACTAAGGCTATCCAAAGGCTTTTGGGCTATTCGGCCTCCACCACCGCAGTAGTCCCTTTTACAAGACTGTGCATGAGCCCCCATCAAAATTGGTTTTTGAGAGTGTTTGATGTGGTATCTGATTCTCCTTGGAGGTGTTTCTCAATCCTTAGAGATGTCGTACATTCCCTGTTATGGTTTGGGGGTGTGTGTTCAGAATCTCTGTAGGGGTTGCCCCTTTGGGACTCAAACACATGAAATCAAGATTTTTACTGATGCATCCCCCTTAGGGTGGGGGGCCCAGTGTGCCACTCTTTCTGCCCATGGTTCTTGGTCTCTATCAGAGTCTAGGAAACATATTAATTTGCTGAAACTTCATGCTATTAGGTACACTTTGTTCTCTTTTGCAGCTTTGCTGGAAGGCAAAAGAGTCCTCATTGCTATGGTCAACACCATGGCAAAAGCTTATTTAAACAGATGGGGGGGGGGAGACAGCCTCTCTTGCCGTAGCCACAAAGGCTTCCAGAATTTGTCATTGGAAAAAATTTGTTGCAAGCTGTCCATATTGCAGGAGCCTCAATTATGGCAACGGACAGCCTCAGCAGACTGACAGTCGATCACACTCGTGGCCCTGGCAGACCCTTATCTAGCTCCCATTTTTCATCACTGGGGTTTCCCATCAGTGGCTCTTTTTGCAACCAGGGTTTTGTTCCCAGGCTGGAGTGGACTCCCATTCCCTAGGAGATGCATTCCAGATCCCCTGGCAGGGCTTCCTGTTCTGTGTCTTCCCTCCTGTACCCATTTTAGACAGGGTGATCACCAAAGTAGGGGGGGGCAATCGAGTTGCATCCTACTGGCCCCTTTTTGGCTCAACAGGGTTTGGTTCCCCTTCCTTTATGAAAGGCAAAGGGGAGGTACAGCTTTTCTCCTACAGCGAAGGACTTGTTACTTGTAGGCTCTCTCTTGCATCACAACATAGCATCCATCCGTCTTGCAATATGGAGGCAGGGGATCTATGATATGGTCTGATAGGACTGCTGAGGTCCTCTCCTTGGCAAACAAGGCCCTCTATCTGAAAATGTTATGCTGCAAGATGGAAAAGGTTTCTCGCCTGGTCGATTACTAAGGGTTTTGCACCAGAATCCTGTCCCCTACATGTTATATTTGATTACTTACTTTCCCTTAAGGATTGCCTTTCAGTATCCTCCATAAAGGTACACCTGGTGGCTATTTCCACCTGCCATCATGGGGTGGATGGTCACCCACTGTTTAAAAAGAAATTGAGGTGTTTGTTTAATATGCACCTGGTCAGTCCCTCCACCTGTTACTCAGTGGAACCTCTCCCTGGTCCTCTCCTGTTTAATGTATAAACCCTTCGGACTCGTGCGACCTGTCTCTCCTGTTGTTTAAAACAGTGTTTCTGTTCGCCATTACTTCTGCTCACTGGGTGGCAGAGTTGGGAACCCTCAGTTGTTCTCCACCTTTTACCTAGTTCTACACAAGTTGTGCTATGCACCAGATTAAGTTTCCTACCTAAGAGGGCCTCCAGTTTTCATATTACACAGGAATGAGGAACTTTCCCAAGACAGGCAATAAACTAATTATATCTTTATTTTGAGTTTTTTCCTACTGTGCTCATATTTAAACTAATCAATTAATTGAACGTTCACTGTACATCACTTTATCCTAGGAACGGCCTGCCAAACCTGAAATTCCATGGCTTGAAGAACATACCTGGTTCATGTGCTGTGACTTAGAAGAAACACTTCCTTGTTTTGCGGGAATTCAAAAGGACATGTTGTCCAAGCCCATTTTCATTACGTTAGGTAACATGATAAATCTGAAAAAATATTGTAAAAGACTTTTCTTACCCAGTTTCAGCATGTAGGGCAGTTTTATGCTTATTATTCTGATATCTAGCCTCTGTTGAGTCTTCTCAGTTTTGTAATTTCCTGTACCATTGTTTTTTCCTGTATTTTGAATCTGGCATTTTGTCTTTTTGATGATTGCCCCTAGATTAACAAGCTGTTAATGTCATACAGGTTTTTTTCCCCCCACACAAGATGCCATCTTCTACGAGTTACATTTAGAAAGGACACATTAAAAATTTCCTCCTGGCTTGCAGTCCAATATATATTTTCTGAACTGATTTCTGCACAAAGGAAATCAAATTCAAAGTATAGCAAGTTAACATTTTAATGCAAACAAGGGTCTCCCAATACTGACTATACAGCTGCTTCACCCCATAAAAGCCATTTCTGTTACTCCCTCCTACCTAGGCACCACATTGTCCCAGTGCTGCAGCAGCACCGCCAAACCTCCAAAGCTATGTTGGTCATATTCACACATCTGAATAACACAAATACAATCAAACACCACATATATTATCTAAGGTGGTGTAATGTACTGTCGCCATTACCACGTGTAGTGCATTCAGCCTGACATGCCCGGACTTGCCCGGGCTGACCAGGCAATATTCCTCAGTAGCTTCAGTCGAAAGACAAAGGATCCATAGGATCCTAGCCGGCCCAATCAAAGGGCCAGCTTCCCAGCCGGGAGACCAATGGTCGCCCGGTTACTGTAAATAGCCTATCGGGAGTAGGGGGTGTGTTTAGGTGTGCTTGGTGGCGGGTTTTCTGAACGCTTATAAACCGGCCTGCGAGCTGGTTTCTTTGTCTTGTTCCTGAACTAATAAAGTACTCTTGCTGAATCACTCCACGTTCTGAGTACTTTTAAGGTGGCAATTACAGCAGCCGAATTAGCTCACCTTGACATATTTGGGTGTTGTAAGGTGCTTTGACAGATACATTTGGGGGAGAAATCAAACCTGCCTTTTGCTCATAGCTGTGAACATACAACCATGGCTTAAAAATCAATAGCTAACCTTGAGAATGTGTTCTCTCATACACTTTCTCTTCTCCAATGTGATTTTTTTTTTTTTGTACCTTGCCCGTTTAACAATAGTCTCCCAAGGTAGCTTGCAGGGAAAAGAAATATATTAAAAATCTATGACACCCATGAAACACTATTTCTCCCTCTCCCTTGTCTTCTTTGCTTTAACAATGGTTTACGGGGTTACACCCTTCTGAGGCCACTGAAGTCAGTGGATTTAGGAAGGGTGTAATTCTGCTCAAGGTTGAACTGATAGTGTCACATCGGTGGCAACCAATGTTCCCTCTAAGCTGTGGAGTCTTGTGAGCAAAAGTTCTATTTTGTGCTCCACTGGCATTAAACTTGTGAGTGAGCGATTTGGCTACTGCATAAATTAGTTTGCTCTGGAGACATCCTTCCTGAGCTAAGACAAAAACATGTGAGCTGGAGGCTAAAAAACTGTGAGCTAACTCACACGAACTCAGCTTAAAGGGAACACTGGTGGCAACACTATTATTGATTGATAATTAAGGTTCCTGCCTTAACCAGCATTTGAAAAACCTGGTTAAGAGGCAGGCAGGATTGAGTTCTGTGCACTCGTGCCTGGGATTGAGCCCCACTGAGATCAGTGTGGTGTACTTTTAAGGAAGCATGAATAAGACTAGACTATAATGCAGATAAAGGAAGGACTGCACATTTCCGTGGCTGATATCGAGTCTGCAGGGCATTCTCTTTACCAAGCCACCGTTCTCTCCCCACCAGATCCAAGACATAAATAAATGTTGTCAGTATATCTCGCTTCCATCAAGAAAATGTGCACAACTTCTTCCAGCCCATTCTGTTTCAGCCCATCAGTGTTCGCAGCAGCATTCTTCGTCTTCCTCACCTGTTCAGAAAATTGCAAATTGCTGAGAACTGAACCTCCTAGTATTTTCTGAGGTATTACATGGCCAATAGAATTGCAACTATGCTGGCACTGCCTGGATAATTATTTTCTTCTAGAAAGGTATTAACCAAAGGAATTATCATACTCTGTAGGGCAACTTGACATTCCTGTCAACCCAGAATCCTGGGAAGGCTATGAGTCTTCAGAGGATGAAATGAAATCCAAAGACCCACCAAGCATTCCTTGGGACACTAGGCTGACTGTATTTCAGAAATTAATAGTGGTGAAATGCTTTATGGAAGAAAAGGTAAGCTTTCTACATATAACTTATTCTGAACTGGATGTGATATCTGTGAATGGATCTCCTGTATGTTTAATTGTAAATGGCAGCCCTGTGGGCACACAATGTGTAAGTTAGAATAAGAGAGAGAGAAAGCGCACTTTGGATCATGACTGTGGATTGGAAGGGGTCAGCCCTTTTAAGGCGCACTGGTTTTCCAATAGCTGCTGTTTTACCTACATATGGAAACACCTGGGCCCCATATGCCATGGAATTCCTCCCCCTTTCCCCAGTTTTTACCATGCAGCAAGGGAATCAGGCAAGCACAATAACACGTGGGGCACTTATATTACTAATATGGGCCTGAGATGCATGTTTCACAGACATTCGTACCTCTTCTCATTGGTTATTTGATTTCGTCACTTGTTTATTTGCAGTATTTCTATCCCACTTTTAGAGGAAAGATGGGGTGCTCCAGATGCCATACACAGAGATATCCCATTTCCTCACATGTCTCTCCCCACCACTACAATTTAATGTAAAGTAAAGGCTAAAAGGCACTCAAGCTGGAAGATAGGTCGTGGGTGATATCGGACATGCACAACTAAGCTAGTATCTGTGGGAGAAGAAGGAAGGGCTTATGCTTTCTCTCTGCTGTTGGTAACAGCAGCTGAGCCTGGCTGGACCTGGAGTCGGAAACAGTGTCAGCCTGCATCGACAAATGCCCAGCCTGAATTAGTGACCTGTCAGAATATGCCAATCCTCGTCCCATGTCCTATTAAGTTGCCTTGAAAACCTAGCTGCAGTTTTGCGGGACTTGAATCCTCAAATGCGCCAGAATTACACCTACTGGGCTGGATCCAAAGATTCTTTACTGTTGTGAAGAGTCTTTCCTCTGATGGATATAGGGTCTCACTCAGCAGAAAGGAATCCTTGGGTCTAGACCATTGTTAATGAAGCACAGCCAAGATGAACCCGTGTTAAGTAGACAGTCCGTACACACCTGAATTTGAATGTAGTATTGCGCCCATGTGGTGGTGGAGAATCCTAATAATGGAAGGTGTGCAAACTTACTTTGGAGTAACTATCACTGAAGTAATTATGAATTCCAAGTAGGCATGCATTGTAAAATTGGGCTGTGTCTCACCTATACCAGGAGATTGTGGCTTGGATCCATCCAGCTTTTTTGCATCCCTCCTTATTGCAGACCCTATTCCATGAGGCTTTTGTCAATAGATGCCCCATCGTCCTCCGTGTAGCATTTGTGGTGGTCAAGAAAGATCCCCTCTCCCTTTCATCACGGCAGAAAAGCTAGTTGGAGCCAACCCTGCATCATAAAAATACTTAATTATCTCCCCTCTTGTTTTCTTTGCAGAGCTAGAAATTCTTCCTTGCAGTCCATAGGATTTCTTTAAAGTTTCTGTCGTACAAATTTACATTAAAGTAATTTTCAATGCAGTAAATTAAATTACTGTTCATAAAAGAGAAGATTATTTTTTCTCTTTCTCAGCCGCCTTTGCATGCCTAAATTGGACATTTAATGTTTATAGGTGGTTTCTGCACTTACTGAGTTTGTAATAGAAAATCTTGGGAAGCAGTTCATCGAGAATCCTCCAGTTGATCTGGCAACCCTTTACCAAGACATGTCCCCTTCAACACCTCTCGTGTTCATCCTCAGTACAGGCTCTGACCCAATGGGGGCTTTCCAAAGGTTTGCAAAAGAGAGAGGATACTCAGAAAGGTATGAACCACACCTTTTTGTTCTGTGTACACCTTGATTGGGGGTTTTGTGCGGCCCACACTACTTAAGTGTAAAAACAGAAGTATGTGTTCATCACTCTGTGTTTTGTTCCATATTCTTTTTGAAGAGGTACAAAATGTTGTGAGATTGTGTACGTGTGTGGTGGTTTTGTTTTAAATGTAGAAAGGTGCTGAAGGGCTGCAAGTGATTGAGGTCTGGTTTTAATGCTATAAAAGGTAGTGTTCTTGTTGTTGTTCAGTCGCACAGTCGAGTCCGACTCTTCGTGACCCCATGGACCACATCACGCCAGGCCTTCCTGTCTTCTGCCATCCTCTGAAGTTTGCTCAATTTCATGTTCGTTGCATCTATGACACTGTCCAACCATCTCATCTTTTGCCGTCCCCGTCTTCTTTGACCTTCCATCTTTCCCAGCATCAGGGTCTTCTCCAGTGAGTGCTCCCTTCTCATTTGGTGGCCAAAGTATTTGAGCTTCAGTTTCATTATCTGGCCTTCCAGGGAACAGTCAGGGTTGATTTCTTTTAGGATTGACTGATTTGATCTTCTTGCAGTCCAAGGGACTCTCAAGAGTCTTCTCCAGCACCATAGTTCAAAAGAATCTATGAGGACTTAAAAATGAAGTAACAAAGTTAAATCATAGAGAGTTTGCAGCTGCCTCAGTCTTAATTTCACATATTTAATAATGCAGTAAATAAGGCAGGTAAGAGTCTTGTGGAGAAAGAACAAGCTACAGTGCTACTAAAATCTACCACATTACATATTAATGATGCACAATAATGTTTGTATACTCTGCATGAAATCAGCTCTTTTGAAGAGTTGGAAATGCATCAGGAAAAAAACCCTTACTTTTTTACACACTGCTCACTGTCCTTTATAGTAGCGCCTTTGGTGCCATTTTTCTTCCTAAAATTTTTGTCATCTTCTTGCATGCTTTACAGTCTCAGGTAATTTGGGAGTCCCAGAGTTAGCATGATGGGGCAACACTGTCATGCAGCGAATGAGATTTGGCCATGTGATGACATCATCACCAGAGGCAAACCAGACCCAATTGTTGACACCCACCCTCAGTGGCTGGAGATGTGAGGAGGCATGTTCTCATTGCCGAGGCAACTGGACTGGTGCTTCCTCTTTTGAGATGTCACACTGTGCGACATGGCAAAATGGGTAGCACTGTTTACTTAGTATTATATCATGGTTTTAAGCTAGACTGGCTGCCCAGGCAGTTTAAAACCCAAGTCTATAGCAGTGTCCCATACAAATAAAGAAGCAGTTGTTGCCAGTAAAGCAAGGCGTGGGACCCTGCCTGCCCAATGGAGTAGCAGTGTTTTGCATTTAGATGGAAGAGAACCTTCTGTTTTGGAGAAATATTCTCCAGTGACCCATGCACTGGAAATGGGTGACAGATGGTGAAAGAAGGACACTTTTACCCTCACACCAACCGGAGGCATTTAGTTCTAGTGCAGTCCTTCTGATGATCCACATGCAATTATTGCTTTTTTGTTTCTGTTCCCCCACCTCACCCCAGATGTTGACAACTGGAGCAGCACTCAGGCCAGCTTTTTAAACCTCTGGCTGCCTTCTCCAATCCTGCTTCCTGGCATCATGAAGCACAGGCATGAGGAAGCTATGAAGGCCAGGGTCCCTCCCCTCTCCAGGGCTCCTGCTGGGCAGGGCTTGCTTCCAGCACCTACTGCTCCTGTCTTTCTGTTGCACTCCCCCCCCCCCACGCACACACACTCATACTGGCTGGTTGCTTCTGCAAGGAGGAAATATTCCCTCTCCTGTTAATGTTTTCACAGACCCTTTCAAGCCATTTCCCCATCAGTAAAAGAAGGATGGTTTTCAGGAAGGGTGTGAAAATGTTCACAGACTTCTCCGCTCTCCCCCGCGTATCAGAATGTGTCTAACAATAATCAAGAGAGATGAGCTGCCATTTCATGAGCGACTGGAAATCTGATTTTTCTTCTTTCACTCTTTTTAGCCTCAATCAGTTTACCTTCTCCTTAACTGCTGGCATTCTTTTGTACAATAGGTCCCCCTGACATACCAGCATTTTATAACAGGGCAATCAAGGTACACGTGTGCACATGGCCACAGTCTATATGCGCACGTGGCAACACTTCTTCCTATTGGTAGCTTAAAGTGGTTCTGAACGCAGCCTAAGTGTTGCTTTCAGAGTGCTCGGCGTGATTTTTTTCCTTCTGCCTCCCCCCACGAGTCACAGGAATCTATTAAAAATAACCCGCACGTTGTCATAATCTTATCTTTGCCCTTCTGCGTGAAAGGCCTAAAGACAAGTGGCTCTGCCAGCTCTCGCAGGGCAGCAACATGAGATCTACCTTAGAATCAGGCTCTTTTTAAAAGTATGTCAGCAATATTTAAAAAAAGTTCACTGGACAATGGAAAAGTCACATCTTTAGCCAGCGGGATTTTCCACTGTAAGATTTCAAAGGTCTGTAAGCTGCTGCTAACAGTGGAGGTGGCCGCTTGGTATAAAGACGTCTTACTAATCTTCTACAAAAATTGCAGGTAACCAAGAGTAACTTGCGGTCTAATAAGCAGAACTGCACCCTTCTAAGTCCATTGAAGTCAGCAGCCAGTGAAGGATGTAACTCTGCTTAGGATTGAGTGGGAATTCTAACCAAACTTTTTTTTTTTTAAGGTATAGCCTCAAATGCGCAATAGGGAACACTCTGTCTTTCAGGCGTACAGAGCAGACTTTTGCATTTGATTTCATCGAATATATGGATGCTCAGATGAAAGCTGAGCTGTTTGATGTAGAAGCCTAAATATAGATGGAATGGATTAAGTTTAAGTGATGTTTTAAATATGTGTAGTATAATTACTGTCTTCCAGAGTGGAGTCAATTTCCTTAGGACAAGGGCAAGGACCTATTGCAGAAAAAATGATTAAGGACGCAATGAAATCGGGAAACTGGGTGTTCCTGCAGAACTGTCACCTAGCGGTTTCGTGGATGTTAGCGATGGAAGAGCTTATAAAAAGTTTTACAGAACCAAGTAAGTGATTCTTTTCTCCCCCCTTTTCAGGCCCACTATCTTTTAAAGACGGTAGAGCTAATTCACAAAGTGGGGGAGAGCTTTTAGAGTTAGGAAAATGCACATCACATCATTTGGCCATTGCAAGGGAGAGGGGGCCTGAGGCTACCTAAATGAGAATTTAGGGCCAAGCTACACATTATACCATTTTACAAAAGAATCTGACAGTTTTAAAAATACAGCGAGAGCCTGTGGCGTAGGGGGCGTAGGGGACCGAGTGATCTTGCTCTTCCTGTACCTTTTAAAGTGCCAAAACAGCCCCTCCGTAGCTGTTTCAGTACTTGAAAAGGCACCGGGGTGAGGGTGGGGGGGGGGAGATCACCTGGTCTCCCCCTGCACAGTGGGTCCTATCAGGATTGGGCCCTCACAGCATTTTTAAAATGGTCAAAGATTTCTGTAAAATGGTGTCGGTGGCCACAGGTTGAACAGTCGTAATGTGTAGTTTGGCCCATAGCACTGGTCAGATCTGAACCAAAGATTTCTACACTGCTAGACAACTCTTGATTTTACGGTGTTCTTCTGGTTTGAAACTTGGTTACTTGTTAATTAGGCGGCTGCGTGCAGCAAGGTTCATCTCCATTCATTGCCTCCAGTTTTATTACTATGCCTTGCCACTCTGCCACTTTTCAGACTACACATAAAGTTGTACTATCATTCAGTTGGTCTTTTTCAACAATACTGTTCTAGAATTGCCTTCCATATATGAACGTCACTTAGCAGAAGTTCACAGTTTTTCTCCTTATACGCAATCTTCCTTCGCATTTTGGTTTTCTTCCAAATTCATCTCTTCTTGTGTCATGTATTTTACATCTCTTGGGGTTTAAATCCTTCCCCATTTACCCCTGCAGATTTTAAAATATGGCACTATTTATGATTCCTCCTTGAAAACATTAACTTGAGAAGTTTTGTGCAACTGTGAGGCTCTAGGGCACAATCCAGTAAGATCTGATCCAGGCAAAACCCACTGACATTAAGTGGAAAGAGAAGAGTGGGAGCATTGGTTTCCCCCCAACATTGCACTGGCAAATGCCTTGGAGTTTCACTTCATTCTGATACTGAATTTACTTTACAACAACATAGTTTGACTCTGCAATTCTCTGTTTTTCAGATGTGTCTATCCACGAAAGCTTTCGACTCTATTTAAGCTCCATGCCAAGTAATACCTTCCCTGTCACTGTCCTTCAGAACTCTGTCAAGGTAAAACCTTTTGAAAATATAAGTAAAATGGGTCATTTTAGTGTTGGCACCAAAAACATGTTGTGTTTACTGAGGGCAAAACAGCAACAAGAACACTATATCAGATTACGAATAGTGGCTACAGATTTGAATCCATGCCTTCCCATTGCACTTCTGTCATGATTTCGCACACACACACACACCAACTCCTGCTTGGAGGAAACACATGGATGCCTATAATGCCTGTATGTTCCCTCTAGCTTGAAATAAAGGGGTGGGTGGGTAGTAACCTTTCCCTTTGTGGTCCTATTACAGCTGAATTCTGAGTTCTCGGAGATGTCAGCGCATCATGGTTCCACCCAACGATGTCATCATGAGTTCAAAGTGATTTAGGGGCCTCTCTGTATTCTCCCTCTCCCACCCCATCCTCACGCATCCGCCTTGTTGATAGGGAGAAATGTGAGGCAGCTGAAAAGAGGGAAAATGTGTGCAACACCTCCCTCCATTTTCTTTCTTCTTTTTTTGTCGTGCATTTTTGTGTATTTGAGTGCCCAGAACTCCTAATAATGAGTGTTAGGAGTTGTGGGAATTTCAAGTCCTAGAACATACCTGTGGGAAGTTAAAAAAAAGAAAAGGGGGGGGGAGAGATGGCTGCAAATATGTTTCTTCCTCATGTCATCACTCCATTATTTCCTATCAAAACTGCAGGTAAGTTGAGGTAGTGTGGAAGGGGAAAGGGGGAATCCTTCTTTTGCCTCCGGTTCACTGTCCAAGTCAGAGCAGCAGTTGCGAGGCTTGCCTCACTTTGATGGAGGGCTTTCCAAGGTGCTGGAGCTCACACTCCAAGCCAAAGGCGTTTTGTCTCTGGCTTTGAAGTGAGAGGTTCCGCTCGGCCCCAGTTTTGAGCTAGAGACTGAAATCAGAGAGGTGACATCACGTGGGTGTTTGAAGAAGGCGTTCCAAGAAACGGAGACATCACAAGAGATGGAATTACTTAAGAAAGCAGGAGACTTTGGGATGGTAAAGTGTGGTAGAGTTGAAGGAGCAAAGGGCCTAGGTAGGAAAATGTGGAGATTTTGGGGTGCAGGGAACAAGGGAGAGCAAGGTCATGGAGGAGCACCTTTAATTTCCCTTTCTCTTTCTTGCCCTTGACCCTTTTTTCTTCAGCTTTGAGACTTGGCACTTTATCTCACACAACACTAAAGCTCATCTTCTCCCACAATATTTTTGTGTGTACAGTTAGTGGGACAGAAGAGGGAAGAGAGCATTTTCTAACTAAATATATGTTCTAGCCTGTTAGGTTGTACATCCCCGTTGCAGACGACAGGAGTGTAAAAACGCTTTCAGTGTTGTGTGTGAAAGCACCCTCAGGATTTGTCTTCTCCTTCTAGCTTTTCTGAATTTTGTGACTCTTTTCTTATCAGTTAAATTCCTAACAAGGTGCCTGGCATGAGGTTCTAACTCCTCACTGCATTTACTCATTCTCCGGCCTCTGGCACTGCTCTTCTGCTTTGTACCAAAGACTCTGTACCTCGCTTCACAATTTCTGCAAGGATTCTTGGTTTCTGGGACATTTCTGTTGCAGGATTGATGCGGTTCAGAGTGAAAAACACAGCTTAACATCCAGTTTTTAATGAAGTAATATTCCGTGCAACAGGCCATCACAGCACACCAAACACACATGCCCACGTATACCCTCAAGTTAGGGGCCGTGGCTTGGTGGTAGCACATCTTCCTGGCATGCAGAAGATCTCAGGTTCAACCCCGGGCATCTCCAGCTAAAAGTATCAAGCACTGAGGGACCAATTGGTCTGTTTCAGTAGAAGGCAGCTTCACCGGGGTTTCCATTTCAATTAGTTCCTTCATCAAGTATTGTTGACCATACCAACCTCTAGGAAGTGTCCACGCTTTCAGATCAGCATAAACATGCAGAAGGGCTTTAAAAATAGAATGAATGAACAATGTTGAGGGTTGTTTTTTGGGGGGAGGGGGGTTGGTCATTTTACAAATCAGTACACCCAATGTTGCACAGAGAGTCCAAAGTGCCATCTAATTGAAATTAAAACAAGGATGGATAGCTGCCTCCCATGTTCTGTGTCTACCCAATTAGAGTACAACTGGAATGCCTAAAGCTTATAGAGCAACAAATTGGCCCTTGGAAGTTAGTGTGAGGGTGCCATGTTTTCAGTCAGTGCAGTGTTTGAAATTCAGAATGTATCAAAGGCTCTGCAAAAAAAATATATATCCCATTAGGGAAAATACATATCAAAATTAGAACCCGCTCTCTCCAAGCCCATCTGCCTTAGCTATTACCTTTTCTCAGACTGACTCAGCCGTGTATAAATACTCAGTTGCATGCAAGATTATAACGTGCTGCACCTACAAACAAAATAACAATTAGCTGAAATTTAAAGTTTAAGGCTTGCTGTGGCTGGTGGGAAAAAGGAAAAAGACAGAAGAGAGACTGCTCTTGAATTACAAATGCCTGGAGAACCAATGCTTCACAGTAATACTGTTGGCAGATGCATTTCCCTGGCACAAAGTCTTTCTAATGCATCTTCTTGAATATTTTTATTTTGAATTCTGTTCTGATTTTTAGGTTTTCCCCCTCCCGACCCTGTTGCTGTTGGTGTTTACGAAGCTGCCACCTATGTTATTTATAAATGGTGCCAAATTAAATCTATCAGCTGCGTTACATAATAAGTATGCGTGTGGGATTGCATTGTAATTGAATTATTTTTTTTTGGAAGGCCATTGTAATTGAATTCTTGATTTTCCTTCTTTCTAACTGAGCCACATGAAATAAATTGGCAACTAACAACCCTTGCAAAGCAAAAGCTATATGCTAAACCCGAAAGTATCCAAAGTCTCACAACAACTGGAGGTGGCTACAGACTTATAAATACATTCCAAAGCCACGTTCCCATAAAATGGTTGTGACTACGCATTTTGTGCCAATGGTCTTTCCCTCTGGCCATGGATCAGCTCGTACCTTCACAATTATTTTTTCACCACTCTTGGAGCATTGTGCTGCATAAGGACATCTGGCCATAAGTGATGAGAGCTAGAACCCTAGTTTTTAGCACCGTCTTTATTGTTCAGCTTCTCCAACCTTTTGCCAAGCATTAGCCCTTTAAGGGTAAGCCACATTCACAGACAGAATCCACTGCATTCCAGTGACTGTGGGAGCTATACATATTACAGTGCGCCCATTCCATCCCAATCCATAACCATCTTTTGTTTTTGTCTGGTTCTAGTGGTTTTTGAAATGTGTTTTTGTTATGTATGTTTTTAATCTGTTAACCCCTTTGGTGGCCCTGAAGGGGACAGAAAGGCAGAATATAAATTTTGTAAATAAATAAACTATCCTGCAGAAGGTTGCAGCTGTAGGGTTGAAACCTGCTCTGTCCAACTCACTAGGATCCATGGGTTTCCAGGCACGCCTGGATGTTTCGGCTCATGTACATTTTATTCAGCTACGTTTCTGATGAGATGCCATGACTGTGAGTGACATGTGCATGCATGGGGGATTCCAGGGCCACTCCACGCAGCCTGCAGTAATATAGATTTCTCTGCTAAGAAGTCATTGAGCATGTACAGAAAGCTGATTCATGTTATAGAGTTAAAAGGCTTGAATGCCCATGTACCTTATCCACGTTTTGTGCTGAGTGTTTCCATGTCCCTGCATGGCTAAGAGCATCGCATGCATGTCCGAGAGCACCCAGAACCTCTCTGTGTTGAGCATCCTAAACAGCATGGAGTGGGTCCACTTCTCTCCCTTTTGCAGCATCAAGAAGAGTTTTTGCTTGGGTGTCCAGACTGTTCAAAGGAAACTGCTGTGGGAGGCTTGCTGAACAAGACCTCCCTCTATGTGCAGAATGGGCCAGGAGGAAGGCTGCACATCCCTGTGCAATCACGGTTTGCATGCTGAACACGTTTGCATCATTATTTATGCTTAAAGAGAGGGTATTCCTTCCACCTCTGCCAACCACTTTTTACAAATGCCCTCCACACGTTCTGCTGCTGCCCAGTCAGCAAATAATTTCATCCCGTTGTATTTATTTACTTTTCGTCCAGTGAAAGGGACAAGACAATTGGGAACTGGTCTGTTGTATGCCACAGACTTCCTCTACTTTAGACGAGCAAGTTCTTGGATCTCTTCCAAGATGTTTTCTTTTCACGGGAGAAAAGAAAAGATCCAAGGGTAATACCTAATTTTATGTTTCAGAAATATGAGTCTTGGCGCACGACGTGGTCGTAAGTGAGCGGTTTTCATTAAAGTTCCGGAGCAGTAGGGGCAACTGAAAGACAACGATGGCCATTTTCGTTTGGAAGCAGTCCTGGGATTGGGTCCAGCAGAGAGTTTCTTCCAACAGAAGGAGGAGGCCGTTTTTGCCAATTCTGCCCTCCTGCTGCAGACCTCTGACTCCTCCATGTTGTTCCTGGGCATCCCATGGAGGGATTTGGGGCTGCAGTGGGAGGGGGAAGCAAGAAGTCCCACTTGATGGACGGAAATCCCTTCAATCAGTGCAGGATTTGTACTGGATCCAAGCCCCTAGTTTTGATAGTCATTCTGAATTTGTAAGCGAAACACATGCACCTCCATGACACTGATTATGATTATTTACTTTGTCTTCTGTTGCCTTACTCATATAATGGATTCTTAAAATTCTGCAGCAAACGTAGCTTCTATGGAAAAAAGTTAATTTAGCACGAACCCTGCCGCTTCCACTGATTTTAGTAATGCTACTTGTGGCAAGAATTCCTTCTTGCAATGGGGCAGGCTTCTATCAAGCTGAAACATGATCTTAAAACTGTCATCTTTAAGTAAAGACCATAAGAAAGAATCCTCCTCCAGTTTGTTCTTTCTATAATTAATTTGTTCCTTATTTTTTCCCCTCTCTCTCTCTTGTGTATGTAAGTTCCTTTTCCAATTTCTGTCTGTTCCAAATTTCCTTATTTTCATAATATAGCTTTTCATCTCCATATGCTTCCTGGGGTAAGCAATCAGTATATTAACTTGGTTAAAACCTGGGAGCTTTCCTCTGAGTGGAAAATACAATTTGCATACAGATAGCTACTAATTCATGCGTTAACTCGACAGCACAGTAAGCATTTGGAAAACAAACTTACGTAGCCCCAGGGCTGTACACGCAAATGAATGCAGTGGAACGTAGTGACCACTGCTTTTTAGCGACATTGCAGCCCATCATGTCCCATTTGCAGTATGGGAATATTACTCTGGGTAGGCAAAAATGTCAGTCCAGATGTTTAGGGATCTGTCTGGTAAGCCTGTAAGAATAAACGTATCATATACATTCAGGTAACCAATGAACCTCCCAAAGGACTCCGTGCAAACATCAGGCGAGCGTTCACAGAAATGACAGCTTCATTTTTTGAAGAAAATATCCTGGGGAAAATGTGGAGAAAAATAATTTTTGGCATTTGCTTCTTCCATGCAATCATTCAGGTATCTTTTATTATTCTGGAATTATGAAAAGACACAGTAGCAAGCGTCAGTTCAGTACATGTTGTACCATTTAGAAAGTATATCCTGTATTTCTTTACAAAGGCCTAACGTGTTTTTATCCCACCGGTTTTTTTCTCCCCAAAGGGCACAGGGCAGCAGATGCAGGGGCTATCCCGTTTTCTCGTAACTGTAGCAACACAGCAGTATTTCTGGAAAGCTTCTTTGGTTCTAATGCAAAAGCCATAAAAATATTGCCTTTGTGTCAGTATTAATCCAATGATACGATAAGGCTCCCCATAAAGTTCAAACCTGCTGCTACCTAAACATGTTATGTTAATTATAGTAAATGTAAAGGAACAAGTATTGTCACATTTTCTCAAAGGGGAAAATATATTTCTCATTTACTATGTGTGGGAACATATCTTAATGGTCTAATCGAAGTCATAAAGGGCATGTCTAGTAAAGTGAAGGAAAAGTGTTCTGAAATAATAAAAAAGATGAATACAGTCCCCCCCTACACCAAGCCCCCGTTCAGTTTTTCCCTGCAGTCTCTTTTGCTTCACATTCCCTTACCCATTCATCATAGACGTAGCAACAGAGAGAGGTTTGAGCCACCTGGGCTTAAATGCAAGTTTCATGTAGCAAAATAAAACCATACAATGGGATCCAGCCAGCATTTTCACTCAGTGTCACCCGATTCCCCTCCTTACTAAAACCCCCATTCTTTGTGAAACTTATCGATATGGATCCCATGTTCCCCGGCACAGCCTTTTTGGTAGTCAGAGCGGTACGTCCTGCTCCGTTTTTCATTATCACTGATGTTGTTTATTAAAAATATTATAGAAATATTAAAAATTCTGCCCTACTCAGAGGTTTTACTTCTAATGAGCCAATAGTCTTAGTAGTCAGCTTTTTTGGAATATGATACAGTTGAATCAGAAACCAGGAATGCAGTGCTGGACTCAAGGGGCTTGAGACTGCCAAAATTTAATGCAGCTTTAACGTTTTGTTGCTCAAGTTGAAATGGAGGAGACCCAGGTTCGAATCCCCTCTCTCCATGAAATTCATTGGATGACCTTGCACACGTCATTCTCTGACAGCCTAACCTACCTTACAAAAGTTGCTGTTGGGATAAAATAGTTCAGGGGGAAACTGTGTATGTCACGCTGTGCTCCACGGAGGAAGGGCAGGATTAAAAAAGTAATAATATATAATATTTTTTAAAAGAGACATCTCTGATTTTGGGGGGAAAAATCATTCTATTTATATATACGGATTACATGGCTTCCAAAATTGTACCTGGGATGAGATCCAAAATAGGTCTACGGGGAAATGCTTCCTCCCTAGCTTCCTTCACCACATAAAGAAATGATTTATTATTGGACAGGGGAGTAAAATGATTATTGTAATAAAAATAAATCAACAAAAGATTGTATCATGGGACTGATCAGAATATACTAATCAAATATACTAAAATATCTGCGTTGACTGTTACTCTTCTAGGAGAGGAAAAAGTTTGGGCCTCTTGGATGGAACATATGCTACGAATTTAATGACAGTGACAGAGAGTGCGCCTTACTGAACCTCAATCTATATTGTCAAGAGGGAAGAGTACCCTGGGATGCCCTTACTTATATAACAGGTAGGAGGTGCGGAGTATAATAATAGCTGCAAAATCCACTAGAAATGATTACTAAAACAGTGGCTTGGATCTAGAGAGTTACTTAGGTAGCTTATTCTCTCTTTCCTTCGAACGACATTTTGCTACAGCATTTTTATCCCAGATTTCTATTTTAATATTTATCCCAAACAGCTAACCCTCCAATAATAAAACCGTATATTTTCATAATAAAGCCATCCAGTCTCAGCAGCACATGATAAATAACATCACTGCAACATAGAAGCAGAAAGGCACTGAATTGACATCAGACTTACACATAACAACGGTAAATAAAAAGGTCTTTGCCTGGCCTCTAAATATTAATATCAAAGGTGACAGGCAGAACGTAATCCATGACATGTTCTTCTGTTGACCGAGCTGGCATTTAGTAACCGCCCTGAGCCTGTTCGCGGGGAGGGTGGGGTACAAGTGGAATAAATAAAAGAATAATAAATAACAGCATCTGAAGACATAATGGTGCGTTGGTGAACTACCTTGGTTGAGAGAGAGACTGGAAGAGGGGGAGAGAACACACATGCCTGGCCTCTCTTCCCCTTGCCTGGCTGTCTTTTTCTCTTAATTGCCGATCCTCTCCTTGCCCATATCTACTGCAGCTGAAGTGCTGCCAAATTTCACTGAAGCATATCGTAACAGAGAAAGAAGCGAGTGGTGGTGGGCAAGACCAGCCCACCCACAAAGGCAGCATTTTCTCTCCCCAAATGCTCTTCCAGCATCTCCCATTGTTAATCATCCCAAGATTACCAGCCTGCACCTCTTCCACAGCAGCCAAACCAAAAACTCCAGCTGTTTGCACTGGCTAGAGTTTTTTTTTTCCTGCCCAGGTCCCATCTGGCTAGATTTCCCCCACCCTGCTCACAAGACCATGATTACTCAGTGCCCCACTAGCCTTCCATTGTGCTCAGATCCAGCTGCAGCTCCTTACTGCCATCTCTGAGGCTGCCAAAGAGACGAGAGGTAGCAGGCGGGTACCCTTCCATCACCTGTGGACCAGAGCTATCAGAGAACCCTGTCCTCCAAACACCTTTCTTCTGATAATTCTAATTGATGTTTGCAGTCAACTCTATTAAATTGGAGCCTTTCCCCCCGGCTCAACGCCCAGGTAAAACTGTGTTAAATAAATGATGAAGTTGTCAACAGGGCATCACATTTCTTCCACTTCAAGGGACACACTGATCGGGAAACTCCCGTCAGTCCTGAAGATGGGTTTGCCTTTGTGGTGTGGCAGCTGTTGTTCAAGAAACACCTGGGTTGCCTGTAGTACGTTGCCTATCGTACTGAATCGTGGTCAATATATTTGCAAAAGACAGGAGGGAATTAGAATGATGACGCACTCCACGGGACCATCTTAGAATCCAACCCAGCCCCCCAAAATCTTCTATCCCAGACTATAAAATCTCCGGGGACCTAGATCACACCAATTTCCCCTCCCTACCTTTCCCCCTTTCTTTCAACTGACACTCAGCTGCTTTCAACCTCTGCTCATCCTGTTTCCTCCTCATGGTGCCTCATTTTGATTTGCAAAGCCATATATCTGGCATATCTGTTCTCTTCATGGAAACACCCTTACTGTGTCTGTGGGTGGCCTGGTGTTTGTTGCTTTTGTGATTGGCACAGGAGCCAGACACTTTACTGCGAGCTACCTTTGAGGACAGCAACGGCCTACATTATGGCTCTCACTATGGCTGCCTCCATGACCAGTCCCTGATCCACACAGGCGAGGACACTTTAAGCCATTGATTAATGCTACTGATTTTATTGGTAATTTGTAATTAATTTATTGTATATTTTAACCTGTTGTTCACCGCCCTGAGCTCGGTCTAATAAATAATAATAAGAAGAAGAAGCTGCCGCTGTTGCTTAAGAAGCTTCAAGAAGTTGGCAGGAGTGGGGGAGTATCTACAGACGATTTGGAACTTGCAGCCCTCAAAACTCCCTCGGCCCGGATTGTTTCACAGGGGCTTGAGCAGGCTGATTCCCCCTGCCCCCAAGTGACACTCAGCTTCTCTCAACATTCTGTCCCTTTTGGGGCAATCAATTAATATATGACAGGGAAGGTAAACAGCATTCTAGAAACAAAAATCTGATCAATTGGAACATTGGTAACTGGAGGAAATATTTTCTCTGTGTGTAATGCTACATTTCTTTGGGGAAGAAATATTTATTTTGTAAATTAGCAAGTTTAACTCTATTTTATCAATCTCTCTGCAAGAATCTTGCTTTTGGAGCCAGAGCTCAAAAGAGATTTTTACACTTCATGGTTTTCCAGCTAAAAGTACATGCCTGAGTAATTGGTGTGTCACTCAATTATGATGCTGGAGTTACTCCACTGATTGAATTACATAATGCTGAAGTAGTTAGATACGTGTCCCTGGTGATTCTCTGCATTCATCACATTGTTAAATAGGAACTTAGAGGGAGGATCTCCATAATTGCATAGATAATACTTCTTTTTGAAAGGGGAGATTAAGAGTATTTTTCCTTAGGCTTTTAGCTTCATGGCTTTATTGATAAACTGAGACCAAGAAATGTGGTTTGGGATGCTAAATGCTAAGTTTTGAACATTACAAAATGGTTAATATAAATATATGCCCCAGATTTGTCACTTCTATTTTATACCTTGATGGCAAGGAATCGCTATGGCAGATATATAATCACTTTGGATCTGCTTGTTCTGTGCATGCAAACCTGTGTGTGTGTTTTACAGCAGAGGCAACACTGGTTTACCACATGAGCACTATCATAATTGCATAAGTGAACACAGTGTCAGTAAACTCACAGAACACTGTCCCTAATGTTTGGGTTGCACACGACATCTACCTACTCCTGACACAACAGCACCAAAGAGGCACAGATTTAGAAAATGACACTCTCCACATCTGATCTACATGCACATAGCACTTTTTTGCCCACTAGACACCCTTACAAGAATACTGGAAAGGAGGTATTAATATATGAAAAATATTATAAATTGGATGTTTATTAATCTTAGAAAGCTTGCTGAAAGAGAAGCATAAACTAGTTTATAGTGGTTTGGGCAGTGCATACTCCCTGTAAAGATAACGATTTTATTTCTAGATTAGATTCAGCTAAAATTAAAATTGCATTTCACGTACATTAGGGAAAGCTTACTTCATATTTTATTTTTATAGCTCCTGTTTAGTTTGCTTGGGGTCTGAGTTGTCCTCTACCAGGAAATATTAACATTTCGGGTTACCTTTAAATAATGAGTATCTATCTATCCTTTTGGCCAAGGTTTACATTTTTCCCATTAGCTACCTCAGCTGTAGATGGGCAACACGGTTCTAAGCTCCAGACACCAGTGCATCACTGATGCTGACACAGGTCTGGAGAAACAAATTGGTATCCCATGTTCTGTCAGCGGAGTGGGGGGTGGGGGTGGGGGACCAGCTCCAAGAAGCTTAGGGCATAGCAACTGCATTGGATTTCATAGCAGCACACACCACGGGCAGCACAGTTCCCTAATGTCATGCTCTCCCAAAACACACACATACAGGAGCAAACTAGTCACAGTGCCTATATGGAGGACTCTTGTGAGGCCAGTAGGAGCCCCATAACTACCACAATATCGAGAGCTCTACTGTTGGGGCTTCAATCCCCATCCTGCAAATACCTGGCCCTTTTCACAGGCTGACACACAAGAAAGGAATCATGGACATCTGAACCTTTCATGAGCTCTGTAGAGTAGAGGTGTCAAACTCATTTATTACAAGGGCCAGATCTGACATAAATGTCACTTTGTCCAGCCGGGTCATGTGTGCCATAAAACGTAATACCGGAGATAGGAACTGTATAAAGGACAGCAGCTGGTAAGCTCCGAGTTGGTGTGTCCTCACTGCAAGGCCCCCTGGGCTGGGGGGGGGGTGCAGAGGAAAACCCACATAGGCGGACTGGAGAGGCAGCAATGCAGTGCTGGGCAGATGCTCCCGTGATGCTTGGCTGCTGCAGACGAGGTTGTTCTGCCATGCTGAAGCCACAATGGAGTGGCTCCGCCCACCCCCGCCAGCAAAATGCACAGAAGACATTCCTTTGAATCTCCCCAGTACTTCAGTGGGGACAAACACTGGTGCAGGAAACACTGGTGAAGGGGTTGCATCCCATCAAAGCAAAGCTTCCCTTTGGGTCACCCAAGAGCTGGTCTGCAGCATACCAGGAGGAGGGGGCAGGACTAGAGCCCCCACACCTCTCACTCAGCAGAACTATCATCTTAACTTCACTTGGGCACAAAGGAAGCATATAAGAAGAGCCCTTCTGGACCAGACTAGTGATCCATCTAGTCCTGTCTCACACAGTGGCCAATCAGTTCCTCTGGAAGTCCAGCAACAGGGCATAGAGACTGAGGCCTTCCCCTGATATTGTTTCCTGGCACTGGGACTCAGGGGCTGACTGCCTCTGAACGTGGAGGTTCCCTTTAGTCACCATGGCGAGTATCCACGGATAGACCTGTCCTCCATGAATCTGTCTAATTCCCCTTTAAAGCCGTCTGTGCCTGTACATCCTCTAGCAGCAGATTCCACATTTTATTTGTTCGTTGTGTCAAGAAGTGTTTTCTTTTGTCTGTCCTGAATCTACTGCTCATCAGCTTCATTGGATGCCATCAAGTTCTAGTATTTTGGGAGCAGGAGAAGTTCTCTTTGTCAGCTTTCTCCACCACGTGCATAATTGTATAAATCTCTATCATGTCCCCTCTTAGTCATCTCTCTTTTTTAGGCTGACTGTTTTGTCTTTCCTCATAGGAAAAGTGCTCAAACCCTCTAATCATCTTGGTTTCCCTCTTCTGTACTTTTTCCAGCTCTGTTATATATATTTTTATGATATGGGAACCAGAACTGTACACGGTCTTCCAAATGAGTCTGCGCCATAGATCTATACATAATATTGGGCATTTTAGTCCCCTCTTAGTCATCTCTCTTTTTTAGGCTGACTGTTTTGTCTTTCCTCAT